TATTCTGGTTCCTTTGCTGCCAACATTTCACTGATTTTTCTTTTGTTTTTTGTAGTATTTATTAAATAAGACACTTATAGATAATAAGCTTTATTCTTCCATCAGATTAAAGTCTTTTACCGTCTCTGTGCATTTCCGTAAACCAACACGACTCACTGCATCGCCTCCCGAGTCCAAAAACAAAATCACGTCCTCCGGATTTATTTACAAAGCTGCAGCGAGGATCTGAACCGGCACCAGACGTGGAGACCCGGTGACCCAGACTCTGGCTTCCCGCCGCTCGCTGCCAGTCAAACCATCCCGAGGCTTTACTGATCACGTTTAAAGTTCAGCCGAGGGTTCTGGCCCGGAGCCACGGTCCTGACCTCAGAGACGAAGCCTCGCGTCCTCAGACGGGACGCTCCGGACGGATGCTCAAACCGAGAAGCATCCGAGCTCTTTGTTCCGGAGCTGCTGCAGCCGAGCGCTCAGCCGGAGACCCGCCGAGTCGACGGAAACGTAAGAAGGACGACTCAGAGAAACCGATGCCATTATTCTCTCTTTTCTTTTTCCTCTTTTGCAGAACAAGAGTTTGAAAAACAAGCTGCTGTCGGGAAACAAACTGTGCGACGCCTATGCCGAGGAGGTAAGAGCTTCCAATTAGAGCGTCTGTGTGATTAATCCTCAGCTGCACATTCTTAATTGTTCATTAAGTGCAATTCATAACATGCTGCAGACGACTTGTTGTGTTTTTTTCTCTCTCGTGTGCAAAACGGCGTAAAAGAAAATGTGATAGAAATGCGACGTAATGTCCAACTGAAGCATTAATGCATTTATAATCTGGGCAGGTTTGCTTTTACACTCATGCATTTAAATCAACTCAGACGGAAACATCGGGATGCTTTTCTGCAGCAAACCCTTTGTGTCGTCTTTCACTGCAGTCTCATGTGATGCTTGTGTGTCTTCAGGTCCCTTTTAAGAAAAAAAAAAAAGGTTATTTTTGCATTTTTTTTAATGCATTTTCCCCGTTTAGTTAGATAACAGATAATAACTAGTAAAATCATGACATGTTAACTCTTCTTCTTGCTCTTTTGCTGCATTTAAATCAGCAAAAATATCATTATTCTGCAGATACTGAAGTGAAGCATTGATGCATTTATAATAATCAGAGGAATATTTCATAATTAGATGAAGGTAGTCACTATGTTTCACCGTTGCTATGATAGGGGAAGTATTTGTGCATCAGCTGAAGGTTAGAAATGATGAAAAAAAAGGGAAAAAAAATGTAATTTTTGCATTTTTCTTAAATGCATTTTCCGTTTTGTTAGACAGCAGATACTAACTAGTAAAATCATAGAAGAAAAAGGTATTAATTGACATGTTAACTCTTGTTCTTGCTCTTTTGCTGGATTTAAATCAGCAGAAATGTCATTATTCTGCAGATACTGAAGTGAAGTATTGATGCATTTATAATAATCAGAGTATTTCATAATTAGATGAAGGTCGTCACTGTATTTTACTGTATTTATTGTTGCCATGTTGGGGAAACTGTTTGTGCACCAGCTGAAGGTGAGAAATGATGAAATAAAACTTGTCTCTGGCTGTCGAGTGAACCTCGGAGCAGCGAGCTTTCTGCTGTTCAGGCCGATCCGAGGAACTCGAGTGCATTTCGTTGGTGTCAGTTCTGCTGTCACTTCTCGCCCTCCTCGGCGCCGCTGCCGGTTGTTCCGGTCAGCGGCGTCCACCCGGTCCACATCCTTAGCGAGGCCCAGAGCCGGGCTTTGAACTGACACTTTCTGCTGACCGCTGCTGTAATTTAGTCACGCAGGATCCCACAAGGCTGCGAGTACTGCAGGCGTCCTAATGACATGCTGGAGCCGGTGCAGCCCGGCCCGTGTAATCGTGGGCTTTGTAGTGATGCAGTCATGCAGCTGCTGAGCTCTGCCTCCATCCACTGTGGAGCTGAGTGGGGATGCAGATAGCTGATAGACGGTCACCTTGCTGAGGTTTTCTTTGGGAGGACCTCGGGCTCCTGGAAGGCAGCTGAGGCTTGTTTGCAAATGTTGTCGAGTGAAGGAACAGCTGAGTACGTTCAGGTGAGCCGTCGGTACAGAACCTGGAATAAGTCGGCGTCTTAAATTGGCCATCTGCCCCCTCAGAAGATAACTGCCCTTGAATTACTAACCCGTGTTCTCGATGTACTTTCCTACACAAATATAATAATGATTTAATCGATGAATAATACATGAAGCAACAAGGCGGAAGATGAAGGACATGAAACATACATTAACTGGAGCTTCTTGCTGTTTATCGAGTTGGATGATTGTGTTTGATACGGACCAGAGGAGGCGTCGCTCAGATGACTGGTGGCTCCATGTGTGCAAGCAGAGAGCATTGTGGGAGTTATAGCTAGCAACGGGCATCACGACACAGACTTGTGTGGAGGTTAATGACCTCCAGGCAGCGCTGGACGTCTTCTTGCATGTTGCTGATTAAAATCACGTCCACTGTGTTGGATCCATTTTACCAAGTCAAATGTGTTCTCTAGAAAACTAGCTTTGGATCCTGATCATGGGTTCTTCAAGTGGTTCCTGACTCGTCTTTGCTGTTTGGCTGGAGGAGGTAACTCAACCTCGTGAGTCGGTGAGTTTGGTCAGCAGCAGTGTTTAGATAAGATGAGGTATCGTAGATAAGGTAACGAGATAATCAATGTTCTTCACTTCTTCACCCGACGGCGTTGGCCGATCAGTAGACGACACCGGTTGTCGGTGGGTACACGACGATGGAGCATCGAGCGCTTTAGGGTCTCAAACATTATTAGAAATGATCTTTTTCAGTCCGATATTTCCACAGTAGCTGAACTATATGATAATGTGAGTTTTATGTGATGCATCAGAACTACAATCACTTTTGTCTTCAGCCGACTGGAGCTTCGGCCCGACCCAGTCTGATGAACTGCACGGCTCAGAGGTCCACAAAGAGAATTCAGAGTTGGGAAGCTCTCGAGGTTGAAGAGCTTTTCATCGGAGCTGAAGTCTGCTCCAACGCCGAGGATTATTCTGGGGTTCCTACTGAGACACAGGAAATTGGTTTTGGAAATTACAGGCCTCTTTCAGTTTCCACAAATCCTCCAGCCGAACATGGCTGACGTCTCAGCGGCTGGAGCTTATCCGAGCCATCATGGCGTATTCAAACCCGGAGATGATGGTGATGGGCGCGTGTGCCTGTGCAGCCCGTCTGATTATAACACTTCAGAAACGAGCTGGAGAGAGTACAAAGGCAGCAAAGAGGCTGTGATTGAAGCCGCGGGTCACTTTCTGCTGAACTTTCCTCGCGACAGCAAAGGAAGAAAAAAAATCCAAGCGGTGACAAAATGTGTTTGCTCGACGTTGTTCTTGCAGTTATTACACCGTGATATTTCACTCTCCTTAATGCTGAGCCGTGTTCGCCGTCTGGTTGCTCCTGGAAAACTGTTATCGAGGCGAGCCGACTCGGAGATCTTCAGGGAGCAAATAGCTGCCGGACTTTCCTCGAACACAACGAGATGGAGGTCACCGTCTTCAATTCCGTCGGGAGGCTTTAAACGTTGAAGTAAATCAGCCACGAGAACATTGTTTCATGCCCCCGCTCTCCGTCCCAGAAAGTTATTTATGTTTAAAGGGGAAAGGTTACCGACTGAAGCCGTAATCACACTGTAATTACCGCCGAGTGACAGAAAGAGATGGGCTCTGCAGCGCCGGACCGATTGAAACAGGTAATTGCAAACAGCATTGTTTCATTGCCGAGGAGGCGCTCGCTCCGACGTTAATATCCGTTTATGGATCTACGTTCTGATGTACGCTCCAGCCGTGATGTGAGAGCGCCTGGTTTAGTGTCTCTTTGTGCTGATTATTGCCTCTTTCTACTGTATTTTAAAATGAAAGTGGGAAAACATCAGACGCTAAATTAACCCTTCAGAACGTTCACCTTTTGAACTTCCGCCTAATTGCCGTCTACAAATCACGTCTTCAGAGTTCTGTTGGGCTCCGACTTCCTCAAAGCGTCGAGCGAATCGGCGTTTAAATAAAAAGCCAACTGATAGAAATCTCTTGATTCTTAAATCAGCTCTTTGAAAACCACGTCCGAGGAGGCAGATTAGGCCCCATCGTTTTTTTTTGGCGGGCCTCAGATGAACTTTCGAAGCACCGAGGCCCTTTTGTCGTAGATCTCGTACGAGTAAACAGCAGCTTGTAAAAAAAGGATTTGGGGGTTCCTGTATTGTACGTCGGAGTCGATTTCTCTCGGTGTGGTAAGCAGATTTAGCTTAGCTTCTGCTCGCTATGTGAGGTGAAGGATGAAGCTTTGGGCTTTTAATAAAAGGCTTAAAAGGCTTGAAGTTCCTCGTTAACAAACTGTAAAGGCTGTAGGTTTACTCTTGCAGTAATATGCATGAACTGATCTTACAGTAAAACGGACAACTTGCTAAGTCCTGAACAAACCGGCTGTTGTTTAGAGAAAACAACCCCGATTCAATTACATTTAATATCCAGAAGACGGTTCGTCTTAAGAGGAGAACTTGTGGTGATGATGTCTGCGGTGCGTTTCTTACATTTTACGTACATTTTTTTTGCAAGCGTACGTTCATAACATTGTATCTCCAGTTTTTCGTGGTTGATCGACGTGAAACAAAAGCTGGGAGAGAGTTTAAAGTCTGGACTTTCAAGTGACGGCGAGTTTTTCTTCTGTGACGTCTTAAAGTGTCACATGATTATATCACGCCCACGTGACAGCAGACCTCTACGGGTTAATCGTCACAGAGGTCTTTGTCATGGTGCCCGTGGCTAACAGGTCACCACAGGTCAATAGATACTACTACAGATATTTTACTGCTTACACATTAAATTAACTCCCACACTGTCTCCTCTCTGCGGGGTGTAAACACTGCCTGCAGTTCAGCTGACAAATCTCTGAATTGTAGTGATTTGACTGTTCAGCCTGCTCCACACCGTTAGACGACCCAGACGAAAGACTAACAATCGTGAGAGAATCGTGGTGATGTCTTTGGTCTTGGCTCTACGTCATGCTGTGAGACAGCTTCAAGGACGGCCGTTGTCTTGTGACCAAAGAAAACCTGCCATAAAGAACATGGAGACTCCACGCAGAAAGATCCCGGGTGTCCTCACCGGGATGCCAACCTGCGACCTTCTAGCTGTGAGGCAACAGTGCTGACCACTGCACCTCCACACTAGCTCCCGTTGCAAAACTGGCATCCCAAGTTGGCCTCATCCATCTCTGCAAACACATAAATGTCACGAAGGCTCCGTTCACGCTTCGCTAGTTGCGATCCACGCTGGATGGACGTTGCTTATGATGTTTTATTCATATTACATGTACGTTGTAGGCTGCGGTTCAGCTTCTATTCTGCACACAGCAAACTTCATGTCGTGCCCAAAGTTTATTAGATTCATGCCGTACAGAGTAGCTTGGCAATTTTTTCAGTAATTTTGCTAAAATGTAATGATTTTAATGTTATGTTAGTTAAATGAAACAACACGTCACAGACGAGCACTTTGAGGACCGTTGGAAAGTTAAAAATCCTCTGATTCTTCCTGTTTTTACAGATTATTTTGATAAATGGTGTAATTTTGGTGATTTTTTTGGGTAGCA